TGCTCGGCGCGCCTGATATGTATGCGGAGTGAGCTCCGCCCGCTCTGCTGCCGCTACCCTCTTTCCCCCACCCCTTTGCTCTCTGTCTTCATCCCTCACCCACCCTCCCCACCCTCTCTTCTTTCCCCCTTCCGCTGCTTTTCTCTTCAGTACCGCTGCAGCACTTGCCACAGTCACAATCATGAATCTCGAGCCAAGCAGCGAGCAGAGAATGCACGTGGTATCGGCACGCCATTTGTACTGGTCCGTCTCTCCCGGGCCCCGCCCCGCCCCGCCACGCCGTCCCTCCTAACACGGGCGCAACCCCTATGTCTCTCTCCCTCGCTATCTCCACCCTTTCCTCGCTCTCCCCTCTTCCCTCTCTTCTTGCTTCCTCTCAATTTCTCCTTGTCTTTCTCTCTCTCTCTCTCTCTCTCTCTCCCTCTTTGCCCCCCTTCCTCTCGCTCCATCTCACTGTCTTTTTACAACAGTCGCCGCGCGCCCCTGTTCTGGACGCGGCTGGGGAAATTCGTGCATGTGGCGTCGTGCGCGGCACCGTAATGCTGTTTAGTCCCTGGTGGGCTGTGGCACGTGCGCGCTGCCCCGCCACGCCCCGCCACGCCCCGCCACGCCCCGCCACGCCCCGCCACGCCCCGCCACGCCACTGCTGGTGGAAGCGCATGCCCTTGGCGGTAAGATCAGCGTTTTTGGATGAGCTCTCCACTGGATACGCGCTCAGACAAACTCGCGGTTGAGGAAAAAGAGTAAAAGAGGAAGGAAAAAGAAAGAAGTCGGAAAGCAGGATGCAAGACGTGTCGCATTTGTCTGAGCACAGTAGCGAGTGGCGCCCCGACTGAAGAGCGATGCTCGGCAAGTATCGTTGGCCGGTTGCAGCGGTTGGGGTTGGAATTCGAGCCGAGCACAGCACAGCAGCGGCGACGGCAGCGTCCTGGCTGGAGCAGAGCTAGATGGCTGACCGAGCCGGGCCTCCGGCGGCGGGCCCCGGGCCGCTGGGGCCGAGCAGGCGACGTGACTCGCCTTGAGTAGGACCCGTGGGCTGTTCGGCCCGCCAACCCCTTATGGCTGATGATTTCGGGGACCCCACCCGTCCGCAGCCCCCGTACCTCCCACCCCCTTGGGCTAGTTTGGTGTTGGGCGAAGGGGGCGTCACCGTGGCCGCCACGCTGTCTGCCTCCTCGGTATGTTGACGTCGCCGACGATTTTTGACGCACCTCCCCATTCCTCGCCCAACCCCGCCCCGCCCCGCCCCGCCCCGCCGTGCCCTGCCGCCAAAGTCGCGCGGCCACCTGTGAAATATACTGACAAATGATGGAGGAATGATGAAATGCGCGGGGCGTCCCGTTCTGTATTCAACCTGCGGAGAGAAATATGTGAGCGCGTCAGCCCCGCAGCGGCTCGTGCGGATTCGACCCCACCATAATGCCCTCCCC